AGAAACCTCAGCCTATTACAAATGTCATCGTTGTTGGTGCAAATCACTCCCATTACAGTGTCTGAATGACCTGAAAAAAAAAAAAAAAACAGTCAAACAGTTGAAATTACTGTTAATGTAAACAAAGAGGGGATAAAAGCTAAATAACAGTTGGTTAAAATGTATAATAATCTGATAAACATACCATTCATATATTTTGTTACAGAGTGCATGACAACATCAGCTCCAAGAGACAAAGGTCGCTACAAAATAATTACATAATTTTTGGCAGAGCAGTTAAATTAATACAGACAAAATGAATGGAAATTAGCTATGTCATAACAGAGACAAAAGTCAAGATAAGCTTCTCTTTTCAAAATCATGGTGGGACAGTTTGGTATAATTTCCTTATGACAGTTGAGAGTGGGGATTGGGTATCTAATCCCCTATTAGGGGTCTGAAATTTTGCACTGAAGGGATTTTTGTGGGTCTTGAATAAAGAGATGGCATTGATATTCTTATGGACAGAGGGGGAGAGGGCGAGGGTGAGATTTTGGGGTATAAAATCTCAAGTCATTCATTATAACCCCTGGTGTTTTTGAAAGCCTGTTGTATCAGTCAAAGTGAGCCAGAGTGATTTTCAAATAGTTACAAGGATATTCTTTCCCATACAAAATACTTAAGAGTTGTTTTGAGTCAGTACAAAAGATAGTCAGGGATCAATAATTTTGGGGATACGTTACGTTTTAAGCACAGGAAAAAATAACAGATTCCCAATATTGAATATTTTAGGGTATTTAAAGAATACCCATAAAAATCCCAAATTTGGCAAAGTGAGACAAGTCTTAACCAGGGAATTCCGAACCAAGTTCCCTGGTTGGGACTTGTCTCACTCTTCCAAATTTGGGATTTTTGTGGGTATTCTTTAAATACCCTAAAATATCCAAAAATGGGAATCTGTTATTTTTTCCTGTGAAGGGCACAATGTTTTGGGTTAACAAGTGCTGACTGTCAAGAAAAGAATTGATAATTTATCTCTCTGGGCTGTTGGAGTATATTGCATACAACGTATTATACCTGGAAATATGATGACATGAAAGTGTTGTCCACCACTAGGAAGACACCCTGAAAAAACATTTAATATTTAACATTGATGAATGCAGTACTACATGTATTTTGTTACAGGTCAAAATTCATATATTCAGGTTAAAATTCTAAACCAAGTTTGATTCTCAATTTCCTTACTTCGTAGCCTGCAACAGGCTATAATTCATTAATTAATAATCAGGGCTTAAGGAGACAAATGAATAGAGAATCAACTTGGGTTGAAAAATTTTTAACCTGAATTTACTTTTGACCTGATATGTAACATGTTCATGAACATATGCACTAATTTCCATGCACACTTGATCGTTCAGTTCTCTATTAAGATAGTAGTTTTAAAAAAGCATACTGCAGAGAATAGTCAAGGTTGTACAATTACATTGTGTATGATCTAACAAACTTACTTCATGTTGATGAACAATTTCTGCAGCTCCTTGAATATCAACAAGCTTCAGAAGAGGGTTGGTAGGGGTCTCAATCCACACCATCTATTTATGAGAAAAGGTGTTTTATTAAAAAAGCAGATGACTTTGCTTCCATGTTAAAATTAGACATTACCTCATTAAAATCCAAAAAGAAAAAAAACAAAAAGAAACTGAGACAAATTTAATATTAAAGAAATAACTTTTAGAAGTTGATCAATGAAACATGCAACGTCAAAAGAGCCAAATTATCAAAGATATTACAGGCTAACCAAAACAATATTTAACATTAGAAATGTTCTAAACAAGAGCCTCACAGATCGGACCTGACCAGGGATTACAGTCTACCCAAGGATTGCAAAAGGAGCAAATGCCACGGCAGCATTACTACTATCAAACAACACTGATTGAACATTTGTAGACTGATCATTGAACTTTTCTTGGGAACTTTTCTTAGTTTCAACACCATTTTGATTAGCATTGCATCCATGCAAAATCTGACAGGATAGCAGCCAATTAAAGCTTGTAAATGCTTCATAAACAGTCGTAAGAGTGAGGATAGACTTTCTAAAAGTCCTCTTTTTTTCCCCTGGTTGGTTATGCCATTTTAAAGGACTTTTCATAACTGTTTGGCGCGAAATTCACTGGTCAAAAATTCTACCGGTAACATCATGACAATTGACCAATAGGACAGGGCCTGTGAGTGATATTTCATGCCGCTCCTGACACAGCATATGTCTATCATTTTTTTCTGCGCAGGAATATATAATATGATTCATATCAAATCCATTCAGGCAAAACAAGTTGACTTCAACACTTCGTTGTTTGCTCAGTCTCTGCACGACCTCAGGCATTGAAGCACGCTTCGCTCACTTTTAAGAATAACTTATGAGAGGTCAACTTGTAGCAAGTCTACAGTGAGGGAAAGGTTCTGGGAACCAGGTTGAAAAGAGGATGCTTATTTGAGGAGGGTGGGAACTAGTTTGCTAAAAACATTGGCCTAAGTAATGGGTGCTTATTTGGAAAAAATTTCTTGGAGGAGCAACCATGAAGGATGGTTCCGGAAAATGAGAGATCAAAGTTCAGTTTGTTACATTTAAAATTCACTGCAGACCTTGGTATTTGGTTTGATTCCATTCTTCAATTTACTAAGATCAGATGCATCCACAAAGGTGATTTCTATTCCCATCTGTATGGCTACAACTTTTGAAAAGTATCTGTTGGTTCCTATAATCAAAAACAAATTGATTAATAATGGATGAATGGGTGAATGAATGATGAACCTCCTGTCCTTTTGACTTAAAACAATGTCAGGAAATTTCCCCTCCCACAAGAGCAAAGAAACCAATCAATTCCCTTGTCTACCACAACATATTCCCCAAGGGTCCTACCCCATGGGGAATCTGATGACATGTGCAGAACATGAATACATATTTATTATTCATTCAAAATATTTTCCCGATTCTGATTGGCTAAAAGCACTCGTTTAATTCACCATAACCAGTTACTGATGACCAAATTTGGAAAAATTTTGTGTTTAACGAGGAAATGACGTCAAACATGCAGCGTTTTCCAAGGTTAAGGCACCGGTAACCGAGAAGACCTGGGGACGAGGTTGAGTTGTTTTGATTGTGAACTTGAAAAATGGCGGACATTTCACTCGTTTCAAGAGTAAGAACTAGGCAAAAACATAGCTAAAAACATGGCAATGACATCTGCTATGACATCTGCTATTTGGAGAATATCTGCGGAGCTGGACAAACCTAAACGTGCACTATCGAAGATGAACTTAACATCGAGGGATCGTTGGAGGTTAGCATGTTTTAGCCATGTTTTTAAACTAGGAATTATTTTGAATTTGAATAATAAAACAATTATTGAATTCAGCCTTCGTATCATATGAAGAATTATGGAGATCTTGGAGGGTGTTATCCGCCTTGGCCTACCACCTTGACGAATAACACCCTCCTTGATCTCCATAATTCTTCATAAGATACTCAGCCTCATTCATTAATTGTTAAATAATAGTATTATTAAAAGCATGTGTTACCTCCATAAACATCATCCACACATAGAACATGCTCTCCACTCTTAAGAAGATGTGTCAAGAGCATGGTTGCTGATAAACCTGATGCAGTGGCTAAGCCTAAGGAGATTATAAGGGAATTAAATCATTACAGCTGTTCTGTGAAAGTACCCTATGCTAAATCCTCTATTAAGCCCCCCACCCCGTATGTATTAAACAGTGCTGGATCCAGACCTTGAGATAAGGGGGGCTCAGTCTCTTAAAAAAATTTTTCAGCGGTTCAGGCCTCAGTTCGGTCCAAAAATAAGAGGGGGGGGGGGCGGCGAGGAATGGATCTGCCACTGTTAAACACGACCGTTACCAAATATAAATCATTGACTCAGTAAAAAGGTTCCAGATGACTACTAGGCCGTCTGAAGTAGAGGATTTCACAATGTTGAAATAATTTGTTATGCGAACGCTGATATCAAACAAAAAAACAGAGTGTGTTCAAAATCCGGATCTTGTGTTACACGTGGCCTTATAAAAACACAATATCACACAGTCAAACTAGAGAAAATCTCACCATGTTTTGCCCTCTCTAAAGCGGCGACACAGGCTTCGAAGCAATTCCTTGTTGGGTTTCCCGATCGAGAATATTCAAATCCCTATTAACAGATATAAATATCACGATCATAACAGGAGGTTAATTAATAACATTCTACGCAACATGTCCATTGCGTAAGAAGATTAAGGTTACTGAAAACTTACGCGATGTTCGCCCGGGGCATCTTGTTTAAAAGTTGAAGCCATTGAAATCGGTGGCACTACTGCCCTAGAATTCCACTGCTCTGGTTCTTGACCAGCATGGATCGCCAGGGTACCGAAATGAGGAAAAGAATCTCCCATCTTTTGAGCAGTCGACTCGTTCGCCATTTTAGAACAAGAGAAAGAGAGAGACCGGGCGCTGATATGACGTAAGAATACCCTTGCTTTGTTGCATCTGCAAAGCATTCCAGGTTCTTCTTCGACGAACTCGAAAAAAGCTTAACTGAAAACAACTATTCCTTACCGAACATTTCCACAATCCTTCAACCTTAGCTCATTTTCTCCATGTGCAGCAAGATTGACCAGCTCACGGCCCCAACCTCCGTCCGTCCCCCTCCCCTCCCCTCACATAGGTTATCTTTATGTTTAACAGATCCCCCGGATCATTCTAAGTAAAGAAAAATATAACGCTGCAGAGATGTCCTAGACTCTTTTTGAATTTTGAATTGGTTTGTAGCGTGACTTTAACAAAGTTTAGGGCAAAATTGATAATTTGAAAAAATGAATAAAATCCCCCCGAGTCTCAAGATGAGAGGAGATTAGCCACTAGTCACCAGTCTCTTAGCTAATTGTCCACTTTCAAGATGGCCGCTTCCAGAAGCTCAAAGACGAAGATGAAGGTATTTTTCCCTAGCCACTGTCTTACTGAGAGTAGTGGATTGATCATTGGATGGAAGTTAGAAAAGGAAAACATATTCGTTGCAGGAACAGTTTTTAAACCGCCAAAGAACTCGTGGAACGTGCATTCTCTTTCGGATATGTTGAATGGCAGTAACTTGATTTCCTCGTGTGTTCTTGGTGTCTGGCTGAATGAAAATGAAAATTATTCGGAGAATATATCATCTGAAGTGTTGGCTGTAGCGAAGACGATTTCACTTACTGAAGATACTATTGTCTTACATTTGCCAAAACAATGCAGAGTTCCTCGTTTATTCATTGTTGGCGAAAAGTTGAAACCAGATGGTTCTGTGGTAATTTTGTACAAGCAACCATCAAGCAATGCGTATTTAACTCATAGACCCCCAGATGATAAAACAGATAATGTTTGGAAAAAATTATTGCGCCAAGAAAAAAATCCTTCGATAGAAATGTCTAATGTACTTGACTTTATAAACAAATCTCGCATCGAAGAAGCTAACCTCCTTGCACTGCTTGAAACCAGAAGTCATCCAACATATTGCAGTAATTTTTTGCAGATACCTTTTGAAGCTTTAAGAAAGTTTTGTGAAATTTTTTCTCAAATTGGAAGGCACTCTGTTTGGGCTATGAAGATACTAAAATTCCTGTCAAGGTTATCGGCAGTTATTTTACAGTCATGTGTCCGTTTCAGTCAAGTGATGGCTTTGTGTACATGTGTTGCCCACTCGAAAAGTGCAGAGGGTGAGCAAAATTCCACACAGTCCACAAATTTTTCCAGAAAAGTCACAAAAAATGAAAAGAAGACTGATCAATGCAGAGTGTTTCCAGTCGTGTGGTTTGGCAGTCTGTTCACGGTGGTATCAATTGACATTGTTCTGGGACTGCTCATTGTCTCATGGCTCTTTGCAAATGGCTACAATGCATGTGCAACTAATTTTCTGATGGAAAAGACCAACACTGTAGTGGAATTCCTGAGTCAGTTGTTGGATTGGTTAAAAGGGGCTCCTGCTGGCTTAAAACTGAATAAACATCTTGCAGAATATCTCAGCATGTTCTTTTTGTATCATATCTATCTCTGGCAAATCTACCTGAGTTGCATTGAGCCTTATCTACAAGTGATCACCAGTTTAATCATCATGTCTGGTTGCTTAGGAGTAACATTCCTGTTGTCCTTGATCTCTGATGTGTTGTCTGTTGTTACTCTTCATATTTACTGTTTTTATGTGTATGCTGCCAGGCTTTACAACTTCCAGCTTAAGAAGCTGATCACTCTCTTCAGGCTTTTCACCGGTAAGGGATATGCTTGGGTTTCAAGGTTTGTTATGGACACCAAAAGATTTAAGCACTGTNGGCAAATCTACCTGAGTTGCATTGAGCCTTATCTACAAGTGATCACCAGTTTAATCATCATGTCTGGTTGCTTAGGAGTAACATTCCTGTTGTCCTTGATCTCTGATGTGTTGTCTGTTGTTACTCTTCATATTTACTGTTTTTATGTGTATGCTGCCAGGCTTTACTACTTCCAGCTTAAGAAGCTGATCACTCTCTTCAGGCTTTTCACCGGTAAGGGATATGCTTGGGTTTCAAGGTTTGTTATGGACACCAAAAGATTTAAGCACTGTATTAGTAAAACAGTATTTCATTAAAACTAACACATGCTGATAATTTTCACATTTCAGGCAGCTAAAAGAAATGCTAACTACTTAAGTGAGGGCTCTTACTTGAGTAGAATTCTCATTAGGATGTCATTCTGTAAAATGAAACCAGATGAGAAATTTAAGCTTCTAGAGCCCTGACCAACACATCTTAGAGCAAAATATCATAGTAGAATACACCAGAGTCAATGCAAGAAAGGAAAAACATTTTTTGAGGATGTTCAGAAAGTGAACTTAGAACTTGTCAGAGCATCATAGGATACATGTATCTGTGGATGTTGTTGAATATGAATAGGCCCTTTGTGATAAATCCTGGCACTATCAGGACAAAAAAGTCACACCTATGGCTGAAAAATGTCAACAGGTATAATAATAAATTTAGAGAAAGTGACCTGACCTAGCAGAAGAGATACTTTTCCCCTATATCTATGCTGGTGACTTGTGATATCCTTTATTACTATTTGAGAAACTGAAGGGGAGTGAAGGGCCCACTCTCTTAGTTTGGCTAAGAGAGTGGGAATTATTTCGGCTGGAGCACTTACACACGGGCATTTCATTATGTGAACTTCTCACCAGTTCAGTGCCATTAAGAAAAGGGAAGTCACATCATCCTCATCCTCATCCTCATCATCATCATCATCATCATCATCATCATCATCATCAGCATCAGCATCAGCATCAGCATCAGCATCAGCATCATCATCATCATCATCATCATTAGCATCATCGTCATGTCTTGCGGTGACAAGCATCAACTTGCAATTCCATTAGAGTCCCGTCATACAGTATACATTGTTCTTGTACAAGTACATTGTAGATGTTGTGATTCAATTTTTATCATTGTTTTTTATTTTGGATATGGTGATGAGTTTTTAAGAAAGGAAAATAAAAGAGGAAATTAATTTTGTGTGAATGGAATAAAATTTATAAGTAAATAAGTATAAAGTAGATTATAATAGAACCATGGATAAAATTGAACTACAAGACAATTTTGTTTT